TGATTTGGGGTCGATGGACAAAAATTCGCATAGCGGGTGGAAAAAAGAATTTAGAATAATTCTAACTGCAATTTTGTAGTGAGGATAGATAGTACTTTCGATGGTAGGAATATAAAAGAAATCTATTTTTCGAGCCCAGATCGAGTGGCACGCTGTTACAGAGACGCCCTCTTAAGTCGCTATAGCAACACGGCCAAAACAATGTCAAAACAATTATTTTCTATCATTTTGTACTTAAAAAGCATAAATAAAATTTTAAAGCCGTAAGAACTAATCTTTTTTATGCATTTCAGTTGCGCGATGGACTGAAAATCGGCCGCCAAATAGACAAAGATGAACGGCGTCGCTTTGCATTTTTTACTGAAATTTTGTTGAGTGAACTATAAACAAAAAATCACACGATCTTCTCGTACAATTTCTCGTACATGAACTTTCAAAACATTACTCGTGTCTATTAATTTCCAAATTGTACTCGAGATCGTGCGATTTCCTATACAAATTTTGACTCGAAAAATAAACGCARTTCCATRACAAAAACATATCATTAAAACTTTCGAGTGGGATACAACAAGTATCGTAAAAAATCTGTAGTTAAAATTTTGATTTTGTTGAGCCAACATCGAAAACATGCGATATAATTGATAGGCGTTTGAGTGGTTTGTTCTCGCCTGCTGGCATCCTTGTGTTCGGATTACAATTTGGCGACGCAGTGATTTGAAAATGGAATCCTAAAGGCCCCGTTTAATTAAACGACTACGTTTTCATTAGCTCCTTCGACGAGAAATCAAAAATTATCAGGAATAAAAGAATTGTCGCCTTTCGTTTAGGGCGAACGAAAGAAAAATTCAACCACAATATTTCAAAAGCACGGATTTTACGTCTTTGCGTAGAACTTTTATAACAGTCCTTGATAGGAAAGGATAATAACTTAACGTCATGGCTATTTTTATTGGCACTCGACCCTATGCTGGGATCCAGAAGTTATTTGTTCACGCTCCGGCGTTAGCTGTTTTGAAGACAATTCGCGAAGAGAAATAAACCTCAGAAACTTTTCGCTCCCTCGCTGGTTATAACAAGCGAAATAGAACCTCTGAAGCCAAGGGTAACACGACCCAGACAACTAGGTGAGATTTAGGGGAAAACTGGGTCGTTAGAATTAAAGTGAATTGTGGAAATGCTTTGGGGGAGTATTTCAGTTATAATTTATGTCCAAGTGAAATACAACACATTAATTAGCATTGCAGTGTTGTTCTATTTGTAAAGCCGATAATAATAAAGCCTCACATTAGCTTTATATTTCCGTCCTGGACGCCCTATTATGCATTGCAATCCAAGCTGGCCGCTGAATGATCGAAGTAGATGACTGGATTTTTGGCTTCCGTCAATCAAATTCCCAACGGTTTAATTTTAGTATTTCTGGCTGATTTTTCGACGGAAGACAAAGACCCAGAAGTCTGGGGTTGCGTTGGTCACGTGATTATGGAAATGGGTGTAAAATACAGTGAAGAGAACAACATATCATCTATTTGTGTCYTTTTTTCAGATGCTGGTAGATTATTATACAAACTGGATGGATGGATGGGAATAAATAAGAATCCCACACGAGTATTAACATTTGCCTGTATTAAGAACGATCCTAGTTCCCCTCATACCTTACATTATTAGTTATATTTTAATTACTGTCCATAAGAAAAGTTGGCTTGAAGTTTATCAATCCCAGACTGCCCCAGGCTCTCGGTGGCAGCAATGCATTACTGGGAACATTCGACCGAGTTTCCTTCGTCATTAAATCACCCCGAGAGCCTGGGTCAGGCAAGTTTAATGAACCAGGTGGCAGTGGTATTCGCATAGGATATTTTAGCCACCATTTTTTGTCTCATCGAACGGTTTCTTAATCAACTAGATTCTAATTTACTTATCGAGTAAAAATGTGCCTTAATTCATTAAAAAGGTGATGATTACATTAAAACTAAATTTTTTCTTTACAACTTAAAGCTGTGAATGATGATCACAATTCATTTGGATTGGCAATGCATTGCTTCAAAGGTCTAGATTAAGTCTGTCTATGTTCCTATTCTCCTCTTCCTATAACCATTCCCATACCCCAGGCCGTGGGGCTGGCAACTCTCATTGCATGGGCGTACGACGGATTACGTGGACGCAGCCTTGTAATGTAATCCATTCTAAAAAGCGTTGCAGAAAAATAATAGTTTATAAAACAAAGTAGGGTGCAGAATTTATATTGACTTTAATTGGCAAAGCGCTATTAATGGAATTACATCATCAAGACTACATCCACCTATAAGAGTTACTAATAACCCATTTCTTTCAATTTTGGCCTGCCAAAAAATTCTGTTTTATGATTCCAACGAACGAAAAAAAAAATTTTTTTTAATCTTAACTCCTGCTGGCGTTGTTTCACTGTGGTCGCAAGTAAAACCAACACTCGCAAGTCTTGAATCAGAGAGTTTTGGCATACTACTGACTTATGCCTCAGCTACAGTCGCCAGATATTCTGACTTCGAAATATTTACTTCCACAATTATGGTGGTTGTTAGGTTATCAAAGGATATTGAATACTAACATTATGCATGAACATTAGATATTTGATGTCGTACGCCTATACAGGTGTATACTTCATGTGTCAYACACAAAATTTCCCTTGAAATAATAATCATTAAGCCCCCTGTAATATTAAATCATGTACAAGCGAAGGAACATAGAATATACGACAAATGAAGTATACACGTATACAAGTCAATAGAGGTACCACCCCTAGGCCTGACCCCATAACCCCTCCCCATAAAGCCACTTAAGTGGTGTACTATCTAGTCATCCCTATAAAACTAAAATCTGTAGAGAGTAAAGATATCGTGGGGTAGCTCCTACCCATTAAAAGAGGAATGATGTGCAATACCGAGTTGGTCTGGTTGTCGAAACAAGACAGCGACATCTGACTGGCTCTTGGCTCGACAGTAAAGCCCATAGATAGAACGCCAATAAAAATTAAATAATAGTTCCTAAAGCTATGTACACTTATACACTGTACAGAGAGATAAAGCACGGGCATTGATCCACCATATGTTTGCGAAGACGTTCGCATTAAGTCACGTGACATCTTCCATGGCTTCTCGTGTTTGTCGATGCACATGCGTGAAATTCATAATCCGTAGAGTGAGAGATGTGACCCTGGTTTTGGCACATCAACGTGATATCTTTGACTTTGGTTCCATATGATTTTTTTCTCTTTCGGCCACAAATAATAATCTGACGCGTTCGTGTCACGATTGAAGTAACGCAATACTGTAACATCCTGAACGTCACGCAGAAAAACAGTCCTTGGCTGTTGCATAGTAATCCCTTACTTGAATATTGAGTTGTTTGCATCACAGTTTCAATTCATTGGCAACTTTAGATGCGATGTTCTTGAAGTTGATGGCTGTGCCGGAAATCCTCTTGAAGCGGACGCCGTTGAGTGACAGGCGAGGTAGTTTACACACCTCCATCTCCCACTGCACATGGTTATTCTCAGGCGGGCTGCCATGACAACAAAGCATGAGATATTTTTCTTTTTGTTCATAGTTACAGTCATTGGCCTCCAGGACCTTGACTATTTCTTTCATCATGTCATAAGGGTCCAAAGTGCTTGTAGTCTTCATGCTCCAGGTAAATCGAAGCGAGCGTGGTTTATCGTTCGAGTCTCCAACGGACCTGAGTACGAGAAACGGTACATTTACATGACTCAGTGCTCGTACACAACTAGCCAACCAAATCAAGAGACAACCTCACACATGCTCAGACAACCGCCGGCCAAAAGGTGGAATTTTACACCTGAATTTTACACCTGCCTTTTTCTCTGCTTTCTGAATGAGAGTCTAGCAAGCGTTCCTCGAAGAGACCTAGACCTCGTCCGCCCACTGGCCCCTGGATCGGGTGAGGACTTTGAGCCTGTTCCCCCGCTTCCACGCGCCCTTGAATGCAAAAAATCAGCGCGTCAAACCCCTGTTGGCCGCGCCTCAAGACCTCTGACATATTGGTCGAAGGTCAAGTGGTTTGGCGGCGGCACACACGGGTACCTCCTTGCAACACATGCACAATCATGAACACATTAACACATTTTATAAACAAACAAGGTACAAAGTCTGAATAATAAAAAAAGACTAAAAATACAAGAGCCGTGGAGAGAAGGGGAGTGGCCGTCGATCACCCCTAAAAACAAATGCGCCATACACTAGAGTCTTATCATTAGGGTTTATAAGTCAGTGCAAAAAGAAATCCTAACCAGTGCAAAGCTAAGAGAGGTGCCTCGCATACATGAACCTGCTGCAGTGAYTACCTACAGAGATAGGTGTGGTTTAAGTGACTTGACTCGAGCTACCTTGCTCTATTTTACCGTTATTAACTTTAAGTGCTTTTATAAGGTGGTTTAAATGTTTAAGTACTTTATAATGATGATCGAGAAAGTGGGTTGTACCACTGCTTTTATTGCTACGCACTATTCGGGACAAACGTCGCGATAGGTAAATCGCCAGTAGACTTCTGTCAATCAAACATATAAGTCGAGTTGGATTCTAACGAGTTATTGAATCACTGTCTTTTTAACAGTGTTCCCTGCGCCATCTTGAAAGGCAACGTTGCAATGATAGAGACATTGAATAATTGTCCAAGGTGCGAAAAAAGATCTCTATCATCGTAAGCTCATCGTCGTTCTCGCTTCGATGCATAGGCACCTTTCAAGATGGCTTAGGGAACTCTGAAGGAGACTATTGGCAGTAGTCCACTGCCTATAAACCTGTTGCGACATTTATCTCGATCAGCGAGTAGCAATAAACTGAACAGTGATAATAGACCTGGTTACCTTTGTATATGTATTGCCCATTGCAAACCATGTGATGTTTACATGAGGTTCTCTGGAGAAATGTTTCTGTCAAATGTTTCATATCCACATGAATATGAATGAATAAATTTCATTAAGATAACGAAACAATTATCAAGAGAACATCATGTAATCATGGTTTGAATTGGGCCATTAACTTAGGACGATAATTAGGTTAATTGGTTGAAAGTTTACTAGATAAGTGAGAGTGACGATTAATTAGTTCAACACCATTAATTATAAACAAACACAGAAGTGGCGTTGCAAAAACAATGACTTAGTTAACTTTAGCTCGTTATAATGAAAGATCAGACTGGGAGTTAACGGGTAAGGCACGTGGTCGGACAGGTCATGCACGCGAGTCTACTCTCTTGGCTGGTTTGTTTTGAGCAGGCAGTGAAATATTCCGCTGTTTGACCGGCTTTTTGCAGTCCGAGGAAGGACAACGAGTTTTCAACGATACCTAAAAAGATGCCAGGTGGTCGGCCGAGGTCTGATGACCACTCCCGCTATCATCTCTTCCTATTTAGACAAAGGAAACATTCAAACACGCCGCTCCACACAGGGCATGTGTGTGTTTGATATTTTAAGAATGGTGATGATGGTAAAGATCTGACGGCATGCAGATGGTCRTGCGTGTTTACTGTTGAGTATATCTCTACAAGAATTATGCTACTGGCAAAGATAAAGAACATGAGCAACACGGACACACGGACGGACAGACAGACAGACGAGTACAGAAATAAATAAGAGTTTGGAATCATGATTGCTCTTTTCTTCATGAAGGGCAAATGAGAACAAAACTCCCTTTCTCGTTGTTCCTTGAGCATTAAGCAATAACTGAAGTAGCTGATTCTATAGGTAAGTATCTGTCTCAAGTTTACAACTACCAGCAAGTCAAATCATGACAAAAAGACCTGCAATCCCAAACTAGTACACACTACAAAGATGACTAATACACCACGTACAGATACAAATAGACAATCACCACTGGGCGACTCTGCCACCGTTAGGGATGAAATGTTTTCGTTCCGTGACCAGGGGTGTGGCAGAGACACCAAGAGGTAGGAGGACCCCGTGTGTGTATAAAGCAACACATAACATTACAGCTAGTCAGTTTCAAAAATGATAGATGGATAAACATTACTAGGATATTTATAATAGTGTTTGGTCTAAAATACATTGGTGTCTGTGTGGATTTGTCTGTAGGGATGTCTACTGAATGCACGTGGGTGTCCAAACATACAAGTGTGTAAGCACAGGAAACCCAATTCAGATAAAATCGAGGGGAAAAAAACAAAAACATAATATGTATAAATAAAAATACAAGACCAAGATAGAGTGCTATATATTACAAGTGAAACCACAAGATATCTATTTTCAAGCACCTATGTGTTGCTGTGTATACTTTTTCCTATATAATTTCTCTATTCTTTTGCTCAATGCTATGTAGGAATAGATCTCTTTACCTTAGGCGTAATGTTTACCATTTCAGACCATGTCACTTTTTTTTGAGATCCAGATTTTTTGTTTGAGTTGTATCCATATTCATGTGTCTTTACAGTAAAAGCACAGACGTTTGTCTTTTTAAACAAAGAAATGATACTCTAGGGAATGACACGTGGTCTGAAATGGGAAAATATTACGCTAAATAGTAAAGAGGTCCATTCTTTCGTTTTTATCTAAAGTGGGATCCTTGTTYGTTTTGTTTGTGTGTTAACAATGCACTACATGTGGTCAAGATGTGCACTGAACGTGTCCTCATATTTGTTACATACACGTGGATTAATTATATTGTGTGAGTTGTAGCATATTAATGTAGGTAAGGTGCGTTGTGTGTATAAGAGTGATTGCCCACATACTATAAGTGAATGATCACTGACAATCAGAACAGAAAGAAGGGGTAAATCGTCTCCATACTTGATTCAATCTTATGTTGTCATTCCTCAACACAAATATCAATGAGGGCGTTAAGATTGTAAATAAAAAAAAAAAGATTTTCCAGTACAAAAGTAATGATGTTCAAGCATGCGTACAACACGTTAAAGAGAGAGAAAAAGAAACAATGTCTTGTTAGCGGGTTAGCTGGATGGACGGACAGACGAGTACGGAGTTACAGCCCTATATAAACAAGTGAGTATCAAGACAATATCATTCAACTATTACCACATTACGTGTAAAATAGGAAAATACATTAAACATACTATACAAACACCACTATGACAATGAACCTAACAACATGACTGTATATGCTGCAAGGAAGTATGGCACGTTGATTGGTCAAGATCTGTCCAATCAGCATTGAAAATTCAGATCGTGGGACACTGATGGATTGGAAATCTGTCCAATCAGCAGCGAGAATGTTATATTGACGGCCATGATCAATGTCAGAGCGGTTTTGTAGCTTGTGCAAGTGTCAAAAACAAACCGAAGAAGCGTGCAGAGAACGCTGTGGTTAAATAATTCAGTGCACATCAGAAAGCATAGAAAAAAAGAGGAGTTAGAGGAAGCATACCACATCAAGGTAAAACCCAAGTACGTGCGTTGAATTATTGAAAAGAGAAAATGTTTCAAAAGGGACAGATGGAATTTGATAGCATAATTGTGTTGTTCAAATTTCATGTTGCACAATTTCATCACACTTTAATAAGGTACAGATCATGTCTCTCGTAAACAACTTCTTGCTCTTTTATACCCTCAAACTCAAAATATAATCGCAGCTGCCTATGAAGGGAAGTAGGGAAGGAAAGGGAAGGAAAGGGAAGGAAAGGGAAGGAAAGGGAAGGAAAGGGGAGGAAAGGGAAGGAAAGCGAAGCCAAGGGAAGGGGGAGGAGGGGAGTTCTGTTAACGCAGGCACTGAAGTTTTGTCCTTGAAGTGGCGTTATACACTGGTGCGGTGAACTCAAAACGTCTCTTTAGAATAACATTCAAGGAAGAGTAACACTAAATTACGAAGTGAAAGACTAGTAACACCAATAATTATCAGTTCCATTATCAATAACAGCAGTAGGATTTCTCTTTACCTTCATCACTTGAACTCAACTAGGTTAATTTAACGTTAAGTGGGTTATCATTATTTCATAGTTGGTTAAATAATATAATGCTAATATCGAGGCAGATTTGAGAGTTACCACACGTTTGCACACGGGCAAGTGTGCTATACATAATAAGCATGGGAAGCCTGTGTCGAAAATCCTAATAAGGGAAAGAAAAACCCATTTGGGATCACTTGGTATCTCGAGTTGGCGCAGACGTTTGGTTACTTCTTAAAATAGCCCCCTCGCTAATATGATTACAAAATAAAAAATAAAATAACAAAAATTATAAAGATTGAGTAAGAAATTAAAAAAATGAACTGGTGTTCGTATATTGAGAATTATGGAATAAAAGATCAAAGATGTGGAAATAGATTTGTTTATGCATGCATGCTTGTGCAGTGATGATGAAAGACGTTAAATGCAACAATTATAAGTGCAGATCAGATACCAAGTGGAGAAACGTACTGCGCATGTCAATTCTTCGGCATAAGACACCAATGGCTTGTATTAGCCGATTACTTCCGTTTATCCCAAGATCCCTTCGTGTGAAAAATTTGTAGGAAAAATTAACCTAGACTTCCGTTAAGGCATGTCCAGTACGTTTGTCCGCTGTGCAGATGTGATACAACCTGCATAGCGTTGGTCTGTAGCTCTCCTACCTCTTACTGAACCGAGATGTCAGTTTACTAAGTATAGAAGGTCTACCAGCCGATACACCAGCACTGTTGGTGTCATGTGCTCGAGACATCCCATCATCTCGTTGCCGCTCTCTCTGGGTACCACTGTGAAATGTACTACGTGCAGGCATGTTACGAGTGCCTAATCTTGAAGGGACAGGGATGTTGGAGTTTGGAGTAGAACTGTAAAAAGCGACAATATTAATGTTATCTGCCGAGTTAAAACTCTCTAAGGTCATAATAATAATAATAATAATAATAATAATAATAATTACAGTAATAAAAGAAGAATCTAGAGATTGACTGTGGTTGTCGATATTCTGCGAACTTGGTAGTTACAAGCTGCTTGCTAAAATATGTTTTCTTTTCGTTGCCGTTAATCAAAAATAATATCAGTCGGTACCTTTTATGTTCTTAACTAGCAGCCTTAAAAAAACAATTTCACAACAAGCCGATGAATGTCTGAGTTCGCAGATTATCGAAAATCTCACTAAATGCAGCGCACGAGAACCTCGTTTGGTGTACCATATTCTATTGCAATATGCATTATCTTTTTATGAAATGATCACGTTAGTACCACATAGGATAAGGTGCAAAGAATAGTTAATGRAGAAGAATGGTTCGAAAATTCCATAGAACAAAGCTATTGTTTTGCGTTTGAGGTTGAGCCGTACAATCAGTAGTCTCCCCCACAGCCGCTTTCAGTGTCGTCACGCAACGCTTTCTCCCCTGACTAGCTAGTCAGGGGAGAAAGCGTTGCGTGACGACACTGAAAGCGGCTGTGGGGGAGACTATACAATCAGGTGATACTGACCGTGCACAACGAACAAAAGCGAGTGTGGCTAAAAATACTGATTTACTTATCATTTTCATGTGTGAACATTTCGAAAGTGAAAACTTTCATTTGATGACCAAAAACCATGCGGAGAAATATTTCCGCGCAGATAAGTTGTTACTAGATGATAAACAAGAAAAATAATAACTATTTTAGGACGATTTTTTAGGGGAAAAATTTCTATATTCCGTAATACTATGAACAAACGGAACGACTTTTCCTTCTCTGTACACGGTCAACGTCATATATCAATGGATAAAGTCAAACAAAAACCTAGAACAATAGGTTTCCCAACTATTCTGCTCCATTATTTATGTGCAAAGTCATGCCTGCCATCAATATCTTCCCATTTCAGACCACCTGTTATTCTCTTGAGAATAAGATTCTTCGTTTGAGTCGTATTCATATTCATTTGTCTTTTCATGCGCAACCGTTAATCAAAGAAATTATACTCTAGGAGATTACACGTGGTTTAAAATGGGGAAAACATTACACCTTAGCTAAAGAGGTGGATTTAATATTGCCCACTCAGGATCTATGAAGTGGCTTAATACCCATCAAGTCAAACTCTATGGAGGTAATTCTCCATAATCAGTACTTTGGTCATAGAGTTGCAGCTTTCATAAATGAGTAAATTGCAAAAAAACGTAATAAAATATGCCGGTTGTGCAAAAAGAAAGTCAAAAAAAAGTATAAACCAAATATATTCAAAGAAATTAAAGAAAATACAATAAAGGTAGCAATAGTTTTTATTTTACATTACAAATTTATCATATTATGACCTTAAACAAATCTTTATAAATGTTAAAAATTTAATAAAAGTTTATTTAAGATTACAACAGCAAACATTATCCATTAGAAATTGCTGATTCTAATTTATATTAACGCACAATATTGTGCATTGTGCATTTTGATTATTTATTTAATATTTGAAGAAATCTTACTGCCAACATAAAGTGATAAGTCTGGTATTAAAGTGCTTTATTTATCAGCTTCGAAAGTAGAAATTTGACTAGAGTTTGATTTAGAGAACATATGGTGAGTAAAGGAAGCCTGCGAGATTTAAAAAGAAAGTTGAAAAAAATTTAAAGGAAGCCTGCGAGATTTAAAAAGAAAGTTGAAAAAAATTTTAAAGGAAGACTGCGAGATTTAAAAAGAAAGTTGAAAAAAACATTAAGGTGAGAATTTAACTGTTTTAGGTTTTCTGATTTGAAGAGTTAGCTTTGGTATATTATTAAAATGAAAAAACAATAAAGGCGTGATTACAATGAGCAATTTTCTCTGCAACTTGTCTCACAACAGTGTTGTGACAAAGTTGCCGGAGTGTTTACACGGTGCAATGGAGACGCAATCATTGCCAAAAGTAGAAACCAATTCTACTTTTCACAACAATTGCCTCAACATTTTTTCAAACTGAGCTGTAGGTTACACCATTGTGAGACAAGTTGAAGAGAAAATTGCTCCATGTCATTATGCCTTAAGTGCAGACAGTTTTTTCCCAAACTTAATAATTGGAATAATCTGCCCATATTCCAATACTTTTCTGAGGATTGATACTGTATTGTTTGTTCTCAAAACTGAGCTACTTTGGCAATTAATGCAAGTGTTGAAAAGAGAATAGTATGCAAATGGCAAAAGTTTCCCCATGGCCTTGACTTTGATCGTTTTGTGCTGAATCCGATTACCCGGACAGCAAAACTTGGCTATTAAAACAGTTCCAACAGCTAACTCTTAACAACACAGGGAACCTAAAACTCTTCTTAACATGCAGTTTAAAACAGTTATAAGGGAGGGGCATGCCGACACTCACCCTGGTCTATATCTATCTTCCTGATGTGAAGATACAGGGGGTAGGGATCTACGGACTGGTTCTAGACGATTTGTTAGGCCCGCTTTAGATGATGGTGGAGGTCTAGGCTTTACACTACTTGGTCCAGCCTCCGGGGGCGTGGAGCTATGAAAACCAGAAATATATTATACAACAATCACAACCTGATCAAATGGAATGTTAGCATATTATTTAAAACAGATTAATTACTTGTCTCATAATGAATGGAACTGTTGAAGGTTAAAACGATTATACATGAGAATCATATTTATGCCAAATATAAAAGAAAACTTTAAAAAACTTTTTGAAAAAGAATAGCCAATTTCTGAGAAGTTGTGCCCAAGTGCAACATAGAATATGTGCAAGATACGCTTGTAAAGCAAATTATAAGAGTCTGTGAGAAGTTTTGTCTTTGATATTTTGTTTATAAAATGGTGTATTGTCCTGTCTGACACATGTCAAGTACAACTTTATCTTTTCAATAACGTTTTTATATTTCTCACCACCAAATGTACCTTCACACGTATTCACTTAATTCAAAAACGTTTATAACTGCCAAAGGCAAAGGCAAAAGAAAATAGGCAAAAAGCAATAGGAGATAGGTCATTCTAAGATCCAAGAATAGCTGGAATGTCTTGTGTTTCTGCTTCTTATTCTCGTCAAGAACATAGACCTTAGTGTTGATATTGATTTAATGTTCTTTGTATTCAACAAAACCATTTCCATGTAGGAATGACCGATAACCTATTGCCTTTGGTGATGACCATGTTGTTTGAATTAGGTGTATGTAGTTCTGCTATGAGGCACTTGTCAGGACATCGCACAAATAGGCTATTCTTTTTTGGGTCCAGCCCCCTTAAATAACAAAGATTCAGAAAGCACATTCTGAGCAGGTTCACAACCTCTCCTGTGTGTCCAAAAGACAATAGCTGGTTTGCCAAATTTCCTTCATCACTTACCGAATAATCTTTTAAAACAGCTTGTTTAACACCAGTATTACAGAGCACTTATTGTTATTTTATCTATTTTAACCTGCTTTACTTTAAGGTAGCGTTATTTTCCCCAAAATCTTACTGTTTCTAGGAACATAATTTTGGGCTTAGTTTTTATCTAGGTAATTTTAACTATTATCAAATTTTAATTTTTACTTTTTCAATTACTTTTTGAAATGAAATAATTATTGTTACGATGAGAATTATTCTCCAAGAAAATCACTGGATTAAAACTTCTAGATATCCAGATTACTTTTACAAGTCATTTCGTTAGCATTTTTTGGAGTAAAATATAAGTTTTTTATTTTTAAGGAAGGGCATACAAATTTAAAGTCAGAGTGATATGCAAAAAAAGTAAGAATGCCAAAAACATCAAGAATGCCAAAAACATCAGGCACGTAGTAATGTCAATATATGTTGCATAATGAACATTTTTGAGTTCAAATTACCACTGTGTTCCTTGATCACAGACTCATTTACTCAGGCTTGGCCTCATTGGAGAGGAAACTGGAGTATTGTAAACTGCCCCTCCCCCTGCTACTGGCCCTTGATGACTTTACTTTCTACCTAGTAACAAAGCATCAATAAAAATGGGAGGGGTACCCCTTCACCCACCCCACCATACACCCTAAGAATTGTAATACCTTGCATCAATACAACTTGACCATGATAATAATAATCATTAGCAATATTTGTTAACTTATTATAAATCTGAAGACCTTACCTTGGTTCTTTACCATCTATTTGGGTTGAACCAGTTTGTGTTGAATTATTTTTTTCATCTCCTTTCCCTTCTGCTCGTCGATCACATACAAATGTGTTGCGACGAGACATCCCAGGTGGCATACTATGTTGCTGCAAATAAAATAACGGGGGAAACATCAATCAGTTGTAACGTGACATAAAGATAAATACAATTTATTACAGTGCTATAGATCTTGTAATAAACAAGGGATATTCTTACAATACCAAATTATCACTGTCATGGTATTGATGGTGTTTTAGGAAAGGCAGGCAGAGCTAGAGAGCATAGCTCTTTGCCCACTCTCCCACCCTCACGCTATAATGTCAAAAATTTTCGGTGACCATAACACAATCTAACATTATTCATACCACATGACACCTAGCGTCAAAAAATTGAATTGATAGGCAAAATAAGGTCACTATAAGATATATGGAGTGTCCAACATACCCGTTGTGCTCTTCCTCTACTTCTTGTATTATCCTCCCGTTCAGGGATTTCAGCTTTGTTAGGATTCGCAGCTCTTCCTACTGTAGTTGGGAGACGTTCCTCTTGTGCTGGTCCTGTCTGTCTGTCTGCTCCTGGTCTTGTTGATGTCCGAACTTGAGGTGTCGGAATACTGCTATCAGCAGTGGCACTTGGTCTGGAAGGATACAATATATTTAGTGAGATTAATTATGGAATTGCACCAGTTAGTTCATCAATGAAGGAGGTTTAGGATCAGAAACCATGGAACAGAGGTATGATGGGAAGAGTTGGGTGACATGTCATGGCAGGTCTTGACATAATATTCAAATATCAGTGGCCTAAAGTCAATACAGTCACGTCCCCTGGGGTCCCTAGCCATGCGTAATTGTCTGACTAAGCTATCACTGTTGTAACCAAAGAGCCCAAAGCTCAAGTTCAATTTTTTAGTATGGTCAACTCTTGTTACAGTGGATACCCTCAGGACCTTCACTTGGTGTCTATAATAGTGAGTGATAATAGCGAAGGTTATTATGGCCAATTCTTTGTCAGTATTCTTCACCGCAGATTTTGCTCCTGTCTGTAATAGTGTAATAGTGGTCCTCAAAGCAAGAGTTGACTGTATAACATGATTGTAATAATAACAATAACATACATTTCCCCTTATTGCAAATCCATGGATACATACCTGTGTGCTCTTTGAGTTGGTTGTCTTCCCTCCCCAGCTGTTCTACCAGCCCGTTCATGAGGACCGTGTGAATACCTTCTGGGTATTTCCCTATCACCACGCTCCCGTGCTCTTGAGCTAGTTGTTCTGGCTGGTCGTACAGGTCTTGAACTTGACCCAGATGATGAGTCAGATTGTCTTACTGATGCCGTACTATTCATTAGTGGATCATTTGGACCATTAACCTATTGGTGTGCACAAAAAAGTAAAGCACTTACAATGTGATAGATTTAAGGAAATCTCAGCAATTGGCTTGCGTAAATAGACCCTTTTCACACTAGCATGGCATTATGAGATATTTGATTAATTGGAAAAAGTAGTTTACAAGTAAATTTGTCTCACTGATACCATGATAGTAAAAATGGTAAGTTTCATTGTGATTGCTCTTACATTGATAAAGATATGAATTTTTGAATCCATTTTTGTGAAATTTTTGTGAAATACATGAAAACAAGGCACGCCGGGCATGAAACACCTGCTAGCATAAATTTGTTGGTTTCAAAAATTCATATATTTGTCTATTTATGGGCAATCTCTACGAAACTTGTTACTTACATTTCGTAATGAAAGAGACTGGCTTCTTTCATCCAGTAATAAGTATGTTGCCATGACTTCGTCATATCGATTATTTGTTAGACTATCGTGGATTTCGTCTTTTGAGAAACCCATTTGAAGCATAATATCTAGAGAGAAACAACAAACCAAGAAAGAATTAACTTCCAAACCCTTCACACAACAAATAATAGTGAAATAAGGGTTTATATGAATGAAAGAATCAGAGATGTAGTAAAAAATATTTTTTTAAAACCTTCAAATTTGACCGACTCCCTGAAACAGCCTTTTTGCTGATCAAAGTCAGGGCACAGTTAACTCACAGCTCAAACCCATCAGACYGTGCCTAGACATTGTTTCAGGGTATCCATAAAACTGAATATAAAGTAATAAGCTAGAATCTTGAAGACTTACCCATTCGTTTTTCATCCTTAAAATCAGGAAGAGGCTCTAAGTAAGGTTTCAACTCATTTAATTCACATCCTATATTCATCCATTTGTCTGACATTATTTGCTGATAAAAGAAGCAATACAATACTTATTAAATTATTATCAAATTTGGACACATTTTTCAATGACTAATAATCAGTAAAAATTTGAAGAACTGATTCATGTTATATCAAACATAATTAAAACAAAAATTAATCGGCAATTATCATGACCCTTATCTGCCTGGGCGCAGCTCTTAAAAACACCTTTGGGTAAATGGCATGAGCAAGCAGGGCTGTACGAATCCGTATGGCCCTGCTTGAAGCCTGTGACTGTATTTACATAATTTGCAACTTTTTAAATATATTTTTTTTGGTCATGATAAAATGCTTATTGACTGAGTTAGGTCGGGCCGTATGGGAAAATATTTGGCTTTCGGTTATTTGTACAGATATTTTCCCATACAGCCCTCCCACTCAGTCAATAAGTACATGTTATTAGTCTCTACATGTGTGAATACAGGCAAGAGTCTGCTAAAAACAAGAGTGCATGAATCATGAGGTGAAGCCATCGAGTTAGAAACAGCTCTGATATTCATGCGCAACTATTCTTAGCTGTATTAAGATGTTGTAGGCCAGGGAACAGAAATTTTTTTCTTCTCTTTTCCTGCCTGCAACACAGCTGATACGAAACTATTTATTTGTTTGCTTTTCTGTTATTGATGTTTTTGTGTGGATGGATGAAACACTGTTTAAATACGCAAAAATTAATGGATGTTTTCACAGTTCAGGCTACAGTTTTAAAATCATCTTAAGCAAAACCAAAAAGTGAGGGCCATGTTTTAGGAAACTGTAAATGGTATATTTATATCAACCCAATAAAGTATTAATAAAGATAAATATATAATATAAATAAAGTTATCGCATTGTAAGTTCAAACAATGTAAGGTTATCTGATATTCTTACCTCTAATTTAGCTCTTTTTGTTGGGTTAATTATTAAAAATCTTTTAAGGAGATTTTCACAATCTGTTAATGAAAAAAAGGCTAATTTTTATTCTCAATTCAATACATGCAATGACTGTGTAAATAAGATTATGCAATACTATAAAAATAAATATTAAGGTGTTTTTGTGCTTGGATAGTTATTAAAGTAATGAAAATTGCAGTAAGTGATGTTGCTCATACCTGTAGACATGTAAAATGGTATTCTATATTTTCCTCTAAGTACTCTTTCTCGTAATTCCTGAAACAAAGAAAATTTGGGAAACAATCAGTACACCATGTTCTATAACGAGTAGCTCAAAATATACTCAAGATTTTTATGCAAGTGCTTTCTTATTTAAGAAGTTAAGGGTGAGAGGCTGTATTACATTGTACAGTAAGATCAATGACTAAATTTATCTTATGAGAATTACTATCAAATTAATCTTTATAAGAGCATTATGCTATACTGTGTCTGTAACAGTGCCAGGACTAGTCACTCTAACCCCTTACCCCATTCTACTGGGCCGGGTTGTTCAAAGCTAGATTAGTGTTAATCCAGGATTAACTCTATAGGTCTTATTAAGAGTTAACCCAGGATTAGCACTAATCGGGCTTTGAACAACTGGGCCCTGGGTTTTACAGCCCAAGATTACAAATCCAGATTGTGAAAACTAGATGTGTGCCACTTCTTTAGCTTTCTAGTAAAAGAAGCATGAAAAAAGCTGTAGTTTTGAAGCTGAACCTTAGGGAACCCAGCTTCCTAGCATGAATATTGTACATAAAGTAACAATCTTTCCTGAAGCCAGTTTCTGTGTGTGAATCACTTTATATTAATTACAAGTCACGCCCTAGCAAGTAATGCTCAAAAAACACATACCTTTAAATTCTGGCCATCAAAAGGTAGAGAACCACTAACTAGTGTGTAAAGGATGACTCCCAAACTCCAGACGTCAACTTCCGGACCATCATACTTTTTGCCCTGGAAGAGCTCTGGAGCAGCATATGGTGGACTGCCACAGAATGTATCCAATTTATTCCCTGGCGTGAACTCATTACTAAAACCAAAATCTGCTATCTTGATGTTCATATCAGAATCCAGTAAAAGATTCTCAGCCTAAGGAAATGTTGAATTTGAAATTAATAAAGTTCAAAATTAAAATTAATTAAGTTTGATTGGGTTACCTTTAAGTCCCTATGAATGACATGTTTTTGATGACAATATTGGACGGCAGACACAATCTGAAAGAGAAAAAAAGTTCAAGAGAAGATGACAAAAGGCTCAAACATTGATGAAATAGCTTTGGTATGACTTTGTACCCAGGTCTGACCACAATGCATCCTGTTTTTCAAATTCAGAAAAGGCTTATATCATTATAGGCGTTATTTACTGCACAAAAATAATGCCAACTACTCGTAGATATTAGATCTAAACTTGTAGCAAGAAATAGCTTCAAACAAAATGAAAGCTCATGCATGAGATAAAGCCACATATTCTGATTTAAGAATATGTATGACCACATACTTGTCACTTGTAAAAATCTGTTTTGTCTAGTACAAGTAGAATATGTAAATAGAGGTATGTAACAACCATAACACCACTAAATACTCATTACATATTAAAATAGGACCTGTAAATTATAAATACCTATTATACCTATATAAACTAATAATATAAATACCTATTACTTTTTAGACTCAATTCAATGGAGCCAGCCTGTACTGCTCAGAATGAGTTACATTCAATGAAGAGACCTTTTTAACTTGAACTTAATACATTCTCATTGAGAATAAGATTGTTTGTTTGAGTTGCATCTGTATTCATATGTCTTCTTATGTGCAACCATTAAACAAAGAAATAATACTCATGGGAATGCAGTGGCCTAAAGAGGTTTTCTCTAAAGCTTGCATGGAGGGATTTTATAAAATCAAAAATTCCTTCTCTTTTATTATGCTTCAAACATTCTTTTTACTGTATTCAGCTGTCATAGAGATACCACATGTACCTTATGACAAATGACAATGTCTTGCAATTACCTGTCTGAACTTAGCCCTAGCTTCCTTCTCCTTCATTCTGCCGTGGGCTACGAGGTAGTCAAAGACCTCACCTAAAACAATAGAAGATATTAATCAAATTAGAAACAAACAGATCTAAATTCACTAATGAATTACTATTTTTAAACTCTATGCTAATGCAATTTTATTTTATTTTATCTTATCTTTTTTAAAAATATAAAGGTTGTTAACAGTAGCTATTGCACTGGTGTGTAAATTAATTATCTTTACACCAGCGATGGATGAGAATAAAAATAAAACCAAGATTGAAAGGTATTTTTTAAATCTCATGGTTCAAATTCTACAAGTTTCAACTAGATTTTACATCTCTTATAATTCAAAAATTTGATCAAGAGTTTTATACTAAATGAATCTATATGTCACCAACCTCCACTTGCATATTCCATTATTAGGTACAGCGTTTTATCAGTCTCTATCACTTCATAAAGTTTAACTATAAGAAAAAAAGCAATATTGTAGAATTAAATGTAGGTGCTTCCAAAATTCTGTAGTAAATTATTCTTAGATTAGAAAACACAGTGCCTGATATAAATGATGGATTTAACAGAACATCTTTTTATCTATTGGATAAATGAAGAGAACTTAGAGAAAAAGAGAAACCATTAGGGGAATATATAATGGGCGGATCCAGGAATCAAAAAAGGGGTGTGTCAGACCGTAAGCAAAGACCATATGCAAATACTATTTATTATATATTGTTTCCAAAAGAGATGGGGCTGACCCTGTTGGTCCAACCCTAAATCCACCCCTGGATATTGTTAATGTCTAAATGTTGACGATGGTATTGATGTTTAAGTCAAATGACAATGATAATGATGAAGTTGATAATGATAATATTGAAGATAATGGTCATTATGATGATGACACAGATGGTAATAAGAATGGTGTTAATAATGAAAAATGTCATAATGAGGATTCTTATGATAATTAAAACAATTTTTGGCTTCATTTTCATTAAGGATTTAGAACTCAAAAAACAACTGAAAAATATTGAYAAAAATCACAAATGCACTTACCTATATTTGGATGATCAAGAAACTTCATTATTCGAACTTCTCTAAACAACTGAAAAATACAGACATACAGTGGTAAGTAAGAAAAGATAAAAACAGAACAAAAAAAGAAAGAAAAGAAAAGGGGAAGACAAGTAAAGTAATAAATTTACAAATTTGAAATCTCTAGCATAATGGTCCTATCAAATGAATAACAAAATTCATAAAACTGCTAGAAGAAATAATAGTCATAATGTAAATTATTTCAATATACAAGTTCAGTATTTATGTGGTACTTTTAAATGAAAAAGGAAATATTGTTATACCAAGATTATGAGATAAAGTTGCTATAATCAATAATCTGAAAACAGTAGATACACAAAGTGGTGAAACATGGTAGAATTTAATAGCCATTTTTTAAAGTGAAACGTAAGCTTTTTCATTACTAATATTAGAAAAATTACTTCAATATAATGCTAATGGATTAATAAAGTTCACTATTTCAATATCCTGATATTCAATATATACACAAATATTAGCCAATCACTGTATATTTATGAAAACACAATTAACAGCTAACCCAAATAACTTAACTGAGGGTTTTATACAGAATAAAATTTCATGCTAAATTTTTAAGCTCCTTTTGATAAAATCTAAGTGAAATGAAAACTATTTCTGGTGTCACCTCTGATATTACTTTCACAAATCCTGCAATCCTATTAAGCATGTAAAATCTTCGTTAAGCACTCATAGAACATGCTAGAAGTTAGATATTAGAAAAGCCTACACTCTTCACAGATCTTTACCAAAGATCTTTAATTGATAAAAACATGCTGTGAATTGAAGACCTTAACTCACAGAACAAAACCAAGGACAGCACTAATGACAACAGACAAAATACTCAAGGCAATTTGTGTAGTTTTTGTTGCCTTGTCAGAGATATGAGAAGAGCCTACACTCTTTACAGATCTTTACCAAAGATCTTAAAATAATAAAAACATGATGTGAAGATCTTAACGCACAGAGTAAGCCAAGGATAGCACTAATAATGACAGACACAATACTCAAGGCATCTGTCATCACTTCTGTGGTCTTTTCAGGGGCTATTGGGAATGAACAATGAAAACTTTTTAAGTGACTTGTTCTTCGTAATTTTCAGATCATTTGATTTAGTAAAGAACAATGAGTTGTCATGGCCTGTTTGACTTGCCTTCATAATTCAAATCACTCAAGCAATTTATTTGCTTATAGATAAAGGGACATTAAACGTTAAAATTAAGCTAGCCTTAAACAAATCCTTATTTTTAGAGAAAAGATAGTACTCTTACTTCAGTACTAGATTCCAAATTAATAATTATGAGAAATTTATTTTTTTGAAACAAATTGTTTTCTACCAACTTAGTCAAATTTCRTTGGCAATCAAGAACAGTAGATCATGGCTTGAAATACCATACCCAACTGGATGGCAAAAATGTAAAGCTTGTCAAATTTTACTACTGGCATGCTAAATTAATTTTGAACTGTCAAATGAAAAATAAAGCGACAGGGGTAATTTTGCTCCACCAAAAGTTTTTTACCTATCTTACAAATATAAAAATAAACTGTCCGGTTTTTTAGTTTGCATTTTGAGTCCTGGTAGAAGTACGCTGTATTAATGATTCACACTGCAAACAAACTTTGCAATTTGTGATTCAAAGTTCAGCTGGGAGAATCATTATTTTTTCTTGTCTGAATGAGTTAATCAAGCATTTTTTGAGTGAACTGCAAGAGGTGTGACATAAATTTCCCTGCTGAGACTAAACAAAACCATCCTTTGGGAATATACAAGCTAGAAGTTGAAAGTATAAAATTATATTTAATTAAATGCTTAACCGAGAAATTAGGAACTGAATAAAAGATAAGAGCAATAATGGCAGTCGATATTTTGTCTAACATTTGATACATTCAGCATAATAAATGAGTTTGTTAATTCAAGCTATGCTTTTATAATAAAAAAAAGCTGCTTATTTTAAGAAAGGTTGTTCTATTGGATACCGACAATTTGCACAGAAAAGCTGTTTTCAAATTGTACACTAAGAAATTTTAAGGCTACAATATAAAATAACTAATTTTATTAAATTCTGAACCATCCTTACGTGCTGATCTAATCATTCAGTTAAAAAAAAGAACAGTAATTTCACTTTGCATTAAATAACTCAGAAATCTGGAAATACCCAGTTAAATCCAGTAATTATTTAATTTCCATTTTAGTATTCATTTATTATCAATTAGAGAAAGACATTGTTTGGTTTGTAAATCATTGACAACAGTATCAAGACTGTAAAGCAGATGAAAAATAGCAAGAACGAAACTGCACATGGTCATAGATACAAGATAACAATGTCCAGATAATGCCTGATCAAACAAACAAGCTTTTTAGATAACAAATACAGGGGTCAGATTTCCTGGAAAAATGCATTCAAGTTTGAAACATGTTTATGTTTGCTATATCAATAAAATGATAAAGGAAAATAATTTGTTCCAAAACACTTTGTTAGAGAAACAGAAGCAATGATAATGAATCATTGAATGTATTATTCAACGTATCTAATATGTGCATGTAAGATAATACAGAATACGAATTACAGTCAGGATACTGGAATCCTGAGCAGTTTGAGTTTTTCCAGCTTGTAGTATTTCCTGAACTTTTTACTATTTCAATTAACCCTCCAAAATGAAGCATTGAGTTTAAATACAATGGTTGATAAAAATAAATCTTATTTCCAATCAATTGGCTTTATAAACATGCGAACTCTGTGTTTCCAAGTTGCATGCTGAAATTTGGTTTTTTGCTGCCGTCAATCAAACCTAATCAGTCAGTATTTTTCATATTTCTGACTGGCGGCAGCAAAAAACCAAATTGCAGTGTGCAACTAAAAAAAAAATGTTTGCATGTTCATGAAAATCACAGTAAAATAAATGACAAAAAAACTCATTGTAAAGTGAAGGTAAACATAATGTTCAAAATATCTGTTAAGACAAGAGTAGATTCTTAAAACTATTTAATTGATAAATAAGGTAAAATTTTTCAAGTATTTGAAAAGTAAAGTGTGCAATTAAGTTTATTGATTGATGAGTACTTTTTGTCTAGTACACTGCTCTCAAAATTACATAATAGAGAAAATATGTCACTGACCACTTCCTGCTATAAGAACAATAATTGCAAAAATCATTAGGCCGTAAACCCTACAAGAGGATATACAGAATGGTCACAGTTTGTAAAACTGTACCCTCAATTAAAAAAAAAACATTGTCATGTTCGAAACATAGAACATAGCACGTAAGAGAGAAAGGTATGCTGGGGAATAACATAATTATCCTCTGATGTATCCATTGGAGATACACAGTCGATATTAAACGTGTTGAAAGCCTCCATGTTATCTGTCAGGGAAACAATTTATGAACATTCCACGAGGTGTATCACTAGATACATCTAATTAACGTACTTTCCATGTACCATTTTTGTCTCAGCTTCTACTGTATGTTCTAATTTTCACATCCAATAATGGTTTTGCAATTGATTTTGTACTGAAATTGTGATCCACGATGATACTGAGGTGTTTTGTGGATAACTTACACAGGTACATACACCACAGTTTTAAGATAACTAAATTTTAATGAGTACAAAATGGTTAATACTTTATTTATAATCTCTAAGATGTCTTATCTATCCTATAAAATAAATGATACATTTGTAAACATTCTTAGTCGTTTTGTACACATATTTTATGTTATTATAAAATGAAGATAATATTATACAGCATCTAAAATGATACTGTTATATCACATGACATTGACACCTCTACAGGTGGGTGTATATACATGCATATATATGCTAATGAAAGATATAGTTTAAAAAATATGTTATATTTATATGATATATTCAAAAATCTCATTCTAGAAGAAACAGAAGAGAATGAAGGAATAAAACTACGAAATTACACCACTGTATCAGATCTTACTAGATAGATTATATTTTCACAGGAAGAAATTATATAACTAGCCAAATAAAATATTTCATAAAATTAATTCAATAATTTGTCCGAGACAGCATTAAAATTAACAAAATGCAAGAATTAAGATCTCATTAAAATCTGGATAGCTGTGGAAGCACTGAAAATTTATAAAAATGTTTTAGAGTTGGGTATTAAAAGAATATCATAAACTAAAAGTCAAAACGCAGTAATTTTGAATTGATTACTTTCACAGGAATCATTAACTGTACTAAATAAAATTGTTTTTTTGGGGCTGCGATTCCTCTATACACACTCTTTACTTCATTCAAATATCCTATCAACTCAAATATAATATAGTATAATAATTATCAGACAACAGATGATGCAATAATGATATTCGTTTGCAAATAAAAAAGAAATTAGAAAGCGTTTATGACAGTTTGTAAGCTCGACAATAAAAAGGCTGTTTGCTGATTGACTTATAAGATGTTGTACAAGACAAAATTTATGCCATGGTATTGAAATATCTAGGCGACATTGTCAGTAACAAATGTCAATAGATGTTGTAGAACCAACATATCAATTTTTGTCCCATATTCTCAATTATAATTCATGAAATTCTTATCTTGGAAGGCTATGCTACTAACCTTCAAGGTGCTCAATTCTATCTTAAAACACTGCGTATAGTTTCTGAATATGCAATCAAGCATACGAATTGTAGATAAATTTTGTATCCCTTTGATTTGTGTACATCAGTTCATGATTTACTGTACTCCATCRTATGACAAAAGCATTAAATCCAAATTTATAAAGCACTAAAAACCTTAATAATAATATTCAGAATCTTATAATACTTAGAAAACAATGGTTTAGGGCACAATCTAAACAGAAGAGTGACTACATGCTGAAGTAACAATTTCTAAATTCTTATTGTTCAAGCGCATGACATTATTAGGAATGGACAGGGGATAGATAGGTTAGTTCTGAAGCTAGTGTGTGGGAAAAATGAGCTTGGCATTTCAGGTTGTTCTATACAGTATTTGAGCTGTGGATGGGACTCTAGAGGGTTGTACGAGGAACACAACCTGTCACTAGCAGGTCTAGTGGCTGAACCTAACTAACCACCAACCAAAGCTTTGCTTACATAAAAACAAAAGCCTTCAAAACCAAAGCACATTTAAACATGTATTTTATGGAGCTCAAAAACATATAACAACAGGAGAAGACTGTTTGAAAATCAAATGCATGAAATTCCTAAGAATTTACAGCGTCCAGCTAAACAAAAACTTCAATCAATTTTATTGGCATGGCATATTTGATTTTCTTCGTCTTGCAGGAGAAAAAAATCAACATGAATTATAAAATTAATTGAAGAAAAAGGTGTTTATTAGAAATATAGATGGATTTTCTTTTAATCAAAGTGAATTTTACTTAGTGAAATAGGGTAAAAATATAGCATTTTGGATATTAATAAATTACTAGTTGTGTGCCCTAGGACATCATCAAATCATATACATATACAAAAATTCTCAAATTGATCTCAACAACAACGATCCAAGGATTGAAAATAACTCCCGAAAACTTGTTCAAAACCTATTACATTATATTTAATAGGGAGAAACATAAGATTAAAGCCCTGTCCATGTTGAGATTYTTCGAGAGCATACAACTCGTGTTGTGGAAGTTTTAGTAAAATATTTATTTGACTAAGATTTATGATCTCGCTGGAATTTTTTGCATTACTTTTTGTGTTCTTACATGTAATGTTCGATATCTGCAACGCTATATATATAATACTCTGAGGTTAATGAAGAAAATAGAGAAAATAAAATAAAATAAATGTTGCTAACATAATTTTCCAAGAATGGAAAAGAAATGTCCATCATTGACGTACACAATGTTTCGAAATTCCGGAAGCTAGAGCAAACATTTCCTTCGAATTATCGGGTTCTATCCAAAAACAAGGCGAAAACAAGGCACTGGCTTTCTTCCTCGTTATAAAAGGAATATTACTGAAGGCAGGAATTGGTTTGACGACAGAGATTATTAAAAACATATGAAAATCTTTCAAGCATGTAGGACAAGCGATGGTTTAGGAATATATAATGCGCCAGTAAAAAACACCAACGCTAGCGATTCGAACAGAGTTCGCTAGAATTATTATTATCGCTTTTATGAAGCATGGCCTACCTTTTGCAAGCTGCTTGGATTAAGCTGGGTTTTGTCGATGATTTTGATGGCGACCTAAAAAAGACAAGAAAAACGAGGTTTTTAGTGAGTAGAATTTTGTGGAAGCAACCCGGCGTGATGCTCTGGTTTTGATGCTAATCAAATCGTAAACGTTTTCATTTTTGGGAAGTCGTGTATTGAGATTCTTTCGTTCTCGGACAAGTCAACTAACCTCCTTTCCAGTGGGAATATGTTTGGCCAGTTTTACTTTAGCAAAGTTGCCCTTTCCGATAGTTTTCATGAGTCTATATCGGCCGATGTGGACCTCTTCAGAGTTGCCCGAGGAACGACTTCGCGAGGTCCTCGAGCTGGAAGAGTTGTGCCCATCTTGGACCTAGAAAGCAAAAACGTCGGTCAAAATTCCCTTATTTACAAACACATACATTCAATGTACTGTGGTGATCTTCAAGGAAGGATCTTTAGCAATATGTCGATGAAAAATAAAACGAAATCGCGCTGTAGGTTCGGGAGTTGGCTCCCAAAATGGTGGACATTGAACATCAAAAACGCTCAGATGAATTGTTCCCTTCAAATTCGCTCGAGCTGCCTGTTTTGAAGGTCTGAATCGCTCCACAAATCGATCTTGATACCCTATTCCATCAAAAACTACTTGAATTATCATTGGGTTAGCCTCTTAAATCCAACGACGACGTGAAAAAAAGTCGAATTTAAAAAACAGGGCAAACGATCCCTAAACGTCTTGTACATACAGCGTCCCCATTAACAAAGCATAAAAATCCAGCCATTCACCTTGGCTGCCCTCGTCCTACTACGTTCTTGGCCACTGCTATCCATGGGCAGAAGTTGGGTACAGCCCGTTCGTAGCCGTGTTTACTTCTAGTCAAAACAGAACGAAATTTTTTGCTCCAACTAACAGAACTCAAATGTTGGTCTTGGATTAAAAATGGAGGCCAGTGTGAACTGCCACTGCCACTGCCTCGATCCAACGCAGTCCCAGCTCACCACACGCCCCACGGACACACCACACGGAACGCCTGGCTAATACAACAGCCCAGCAGTAAACCTCAGTATTGTCCACTAAAAATACCCCATTTTCCTAGATTCCATAAATCACTACTGAACGATCCGGGATTGAGTCGAGATTCATTATTCTAGGGTGAAAAATGGCCTATGAGAGGTGTGATGTTAAATTTACTTGTTCATGCTGGGCACCAGTCTCTAACGCGTTCGCTTACCGGCGAATGAAATGTATAATTGTATTATCGGGTGAAAAATAAAGTCCCTTAATGCCTGCTTTCCGGTATCAATTGTGGTTCGACAGAGTATATGACGACAATGAATTATTGGAATATTCTTTTAATTGTGAATTTTATTGCTAGTAATATCTTAGAGGGGTTTCTTGAGAGCGAATTTCGCGGGAAATTGAACGCCCCGTTTTTTGTTTTTTTTTGGACGACCTTCTAAAAATATAGATTTAAAAAAACCCCAAAAATAATATCTTAAAAAGGCATATTTTGATTAGGAGGTAGCCTTTCTGTGCAAAGAAAAAGCAGCTATTTATAAATACAAGATGGGATACCACGAATATTTAAAACTTGATTCAATTTATCATATTAATAAACAAATAATATAATAATATGATACCCATGGAACACACGCCGCGCAAGGTTTAAAACGCATGTGCAAGACGGAAAGCTTTAAGATTGGGATCTCAAAAGACTGCTTATTTGAAGTGACCAGGCCACGTAAAGGAGAGGTTGCCGCCGGACGCTTAGAGCCTTACGTGTGTATTAAGTGTTCGGAAGGAAGTCCCGTGTGGGAGTCATTGACCACATCGCCAGCTAACAATAACATTCGGGTAGAAAATTAAGAATTAACCGAAAAAATAAATTAGCATTTTTCGAAAAAAAAGTTAATTAAGGATCATCCATAATTATCTGAGGTTTAAGGTTCGTTTAAATTGTAGTTTTTGGTACCAACAGTGGCTCACTGTCAGTCATTAACCCCTTTTGTTAATCCATTTAATGTTTGGAATTTCTTTCGCCGAACGTCGGACCGTTTTTTTTTTTGGAGAGTGCAGGAAAACGGACGCGCTTTTCAATGACGTTGAAATGACCTTCTTCCTAACGAGGAAGAAGGCAAGGAAGACGGCAAGGAAAACTGGAAGCTGGTAGTCCAGGATGTCTGGAGTCGTCACGTGACTACAACAATAAATTGTGGAGTGTTTTTGTTGGGCAGTTATGGGGGTGGGTCTGGGGGACGGGGGCGTTGGCCTCCACTTGACATCCATTCCGTCAACTGGGAACCAAAGACTTCAAAATAAGGGGCACTTCACCCTCTTGGAATGAGCAAGATAGAGAACACTGATGTTTTAATGGCATCAATGATAATAGCCAGATTCGACCCACTGACTTAAAAAAAACATGCGGCCGTTGATTGTAAAACCACAACTCGTGTACCACAGTAATGCTGATAGGCAACTGAAAGTCAAACAAAAAACGTTTTCTTTGTTCCGACCTAAAAATTCGCCGGAAACTCGTAATTATCTATATTTGTGTCTATTATCTAATATCGAGAGGAAAAGTTCTGAACCCTTTAAATTGATATATCTGCGGACCAACTGATTCCGCAAATTTCCGGCAGCAAAGCAAATTAACATCCCTGTAAAAACTAAAAGTTAATGATAAAAACTTGGGAAACGTCATTAAGAGTATCGAGATATTAACGCAAGTTGTGATTGGCTGGCTGGGGGACTAGCTTTGTTGACGAAGACGTTGCTAGTGCAGTTTTTGGCGAGTAAGAATGTTAGCACACTGTTACATAAAAGCCCAGTGACAAGTTATGAGACAGCGTGATTATTAGAAATTATGTTACGTCGATTGGCGGGAAAAACCGGTTCAGCGCGAGCAAAAAAACGTGGTCGGGCTTAAAAAACATCAGAAATGTCACTCAAAGGAAAGCTCAGAAAGAGAAAATGGTGAAGAAGGGAAGGGATACTTAGTAGGAAAAGTATTAAAAGAAAAAGATGGTTAAGATACATTAAGATCGAATTGAATGGGAGAGCCGTCAGATTGAAAATTCCCAAAGATCCGTGGCGTTAGTTGTCAGTGTTTGGTCATTCGTTTTAGATAAAACTGAAAGTAATTATCATGACAATTACACTCTTGAGTCTTAGAAAAGGTATGGCAGATCATCTAGATACACTATCTTTACATATAACGTACAAATTTGCGTCAATGAACTTCGGCACGACTGAGTTAACCGGGTTGGGTTTTGCCGATCTCAAGTTTGATAGCTAGATAACAAAAAACATTCCTACAGGCATATCACTGGGGAAAAACGTGCTTTTGCTCCAGATATACTGGTTTTTCTTTGAAGTATTTTCTGATAAAACGTAATCTAGTTCCTGAATATTAATCGTACACCAACGCGACAAAAAGCAGCTCCCTCCCTTAGGAGTGATCCTCATACCAGTCAGTTGATCTCTGAGCCATTAAAAACGAACTGAACATGACAATCTGCAAACGTTGTCACTGACCTTTGAGGGTGTGCAAGAGGTGTGCAAGTTGTCACAGCCGAGAACAAACAATAGCCAAACATATATTATTCTCCCAAGTAAATATTTACTAGATTTGATGAATGGGTAGTGAAAGGGGAGAACGATGTTGGAGTGGCAGACTTTGTTGCATAGCAACGAAGTATGTGACGACATACTTTGTAAAGCAAGAGAATATGATAAACTTCATTTTTCTGGGGGGATTACGTTGTAACAAATTTTGACAATTCATTAGATATGCATCATGAAAAGAAACGTGGATTTATAAAGATGAAAATAATAAATAATTCGTCAAAGTGTCTAGGCATCGATGCCCCCTTCTAAGTCCAAGGCAAAGCCTAACGTTTACAAACGAAATGCAAATATACTTCATAATTAATCGTATCAATTAATGGCCACATGGGCATTAAGCCTACTGTGGTCACCCTTTTTGATCCGAAAAATCATCAAAAGGCTCTTAAAAGCGGTTTCATGGTCTGGTAGGTTCTACTGTTTGAATTTCACGCAAGAATCGGTTGTTTTGTGCCCTTAGTTGGTCGAGGTCAAACACGCGAAGAATAAGCCAGAGATCAGGTGATCGGATGATGAATCAATGTCTGTTATGACTATCACAATGACGAATGACCTTAGAATAGTTTTAATCGCTCAAAACCAACTCGTGTGTATAATTATATTAACGAGTATCGGTCTGTCACTGCTACAGGATCCACCTATTTTTCTCACCATTTCATTTTCAAGTTCAGTTTAGAAAATCAGGGAGGCGGGAGGGGAAAATGCAAAGCGTTTATACAAGCGCGAGGGAGTGTTCGTTCCTTCAGCGCTCGATACCAAGACAAAAATATAGTAATAGCTGATTTGAATGCATTGGAATAATATTTTCGACTGATTCAATGGAAAAAAGCAACGGACAACAGAAAAGAAAGAAAGAAAAGATAGATACTTATATGGCAATAATATGATGACAGATTTGTGCATGGATAGACAACAATTTCGACTCGGCATGAATTTAACAAAGGCACATATTGATAATATTTAATTCCTTACAATTTTGAAATATTTATGGATTTAAAAGAGAAAACTAGTAATGAATTTGAAATTGTTCGTGTGGTGCTTTCGAAACGACTTGAGTCAGAAAACCCAGGCAGTCATAAAGGTGTTCCAAAAAAGTATCATAGCACTTTGCTTGAGTTTACTTCTAAACAAGTAAGGGTTAACTGGTACAATATAGGTCATTTTGTGAATCAGAAAATACCTTGTATCTTGTGTAGTTTTCGCGTTTGGGGTYGGTAGCTGCTCTGTAACTGCTTCGTGTGGTCGTTCGTCGAGATCCTGCGCCATCCTGAGCCGATGAAGTCCGGGTATTTTGACGAAAATTGTCGTTTTCGCCGAGCGCCATAACTAAATGTTCGCGTGAATACACGCTTCACTTCTCAAACCTTGTCATCACTGACCAACACACTACATTTCGTAACGCAACGGGCACGATCACGCCTCCACTAGCATATAATACCTAACCCTCCCCTCCCATACTTTTTTGAAATGACCTCATATGGCTTCTCGTGGGATGATCAAACGGGCGGCGAAACAGCGTGATAAAGATGAGTAARGTTTGTGAAAACTACTCGATGCGAGAGATCAATTTGTTTAATTTTCAACTGTGTTTGATGCGAGACAAAATAAGCAGACGGCCAAAGCAAAAGAAAAAAGAAAACACGCATCATTTCTATGAACTGAGATCATCGGCTTCTTCCCGTTAATTGTTATCGCCAATAAGTAATCATTCTGGTTATCAGATCTAGAAAAATATATTTCCTCCTATTTCTTTAATTTTTCTCCTCTCCAATGTTTTCATAGAATTGCCACAAATCAATCATCCACCATTATTTTAACGAGAAAGCAACAAGTCAATGCAAATTATTTTTAGTGAYTAACAGGGTCGCAGGTACTCAGTCCCACCAGCACATAAAAATCATGACGGATATCAGTTCTAAGGTGATGGTAGTTCTTCTTTTTGTAAAGCCTGTATTATTGTTACTTACAGCATTTTTTCTGTTCTGTTCTTATATCGTTTTTAATCCAAATTGTACTCGAGATCGTGCGATTTCCTATACAAATTCYCGCGGGTTTAGGCCAAGTGACTCTTAAAATTCGAACCTTTGCGCAAAGGTGGATCATGATCACATGAATGGCTAATTTGGTTCCAATAACCGAGAGGTTTAAGATTAGTAGAAGAACATTTCACCAACCAGCAAAATTCAGAAGTCCAGCCTTGGGGCTGATCCAAGCCGTAGGCGAGAGTAATGCAGGGAAAATATATCATAATAAATTTTAAATACGATCGCTGTCTTATTAGCGTTCGCAGCAAGTCTTAATACAAACTGAGACAGTGTATGCGTCACTAAAAACGATAATTTGCGAGGGAGACTAGTGTATGCGCAAATTATTGTTATTTAAACACGATCAAGCGACGTAGTAAAATGCGCACTGAAAGATTTGACGTCAAACGCT